GTATAGTCCTCAAATGACTACATTATAAGGTTTAGTCCTCAAATGACCACACTGTAAGGTATAGTCCTCAAATGACCACATTCTAAGGTATAGTCCTCAAATGACCACATTATAAGGTATAGTCTTCAAATGACCACATCATAAGGTATAGGGTTCAGGGGTTTTTGTTGCTCGGTTGGAGTGAGTTCGTACCAAAGTCCTGCCTGCTGCTCGCCGATTGCACGTAGCTAACGTATCGGCCATGCCCTTCACACACCTTTACCAGTGACATCGCGATGATTATCATCGACCCCTTCACAATGAATACATTCCTGTGTAATGTCTTTAACTACCTGAGTGAGAAGGTCGATTTGGGAGCTGGGTCCAAGGGCGGCTTACCAAATGTAAGTTGTGGTGAGAGATTCACCCCTTTGCAATTCGCTGTCAGGCGCTGAACGCGGAAAGAATCGATGACAGTCTGTACTGTACTCAACTGCAGGCCTGGTTGCAGTAGCTGTAGGTCTGGTTTAATTAGGAAATAAAGCAGTCCAGATTGTCTGTCAGTATATATCGCAACTTCTTAAGCCTATGGACTCTGCCACGTCGCTCCAGTGCACAAGCGTGATACCTTATTTCCGTTTACTGACACAATCAGAACCGACCACTCCCACACAAACTGGCATACAGGAAGACGATCGCATTCGGTATATTTCTCAGCTGGTCAGTTTGGGTGTCTCGGCGCATTCGTCCGTAGTCAACGAACACTACGGTAGGTCTTTGCAGTTGACGAGGGCAGTCCACTTGAGCACTTGAGTCTTGGTTGTATACTTCTGTGTACCTTTGAAGGAGAGGCGGATTGTTTTGGTGGATAGTACGGTTGTGGCAGTGGAGTGTTGTGGGCTTGGTGTAGTTGTTCGGCCGTCGAATGACTTGGTGTGTCCTGTTCACAGTCGTGTAGGTGCTCGTGTGTATATTTCTATTAATGGCATAGCTATTGTGGGTCGCAATGCTTTCTAGTATTGCTCACACTTGACATCGAATGCTTCGGTACATTTGTATGCTAGCTGGTAAAATCGGTAAGTTTCGATACATCAACCATTAACTTGCTCCAAAGTGAATTAGTATCGTGATCTCGTAGCTGCACATAAAAAAGATATCCGAAACGCACAGCACAGTAGGGTTTAAGGTAAACAAGACATCTCTATCAACCCGAATTCTGCAGATCACAGCCCAAAAAAGAAATACACGATGGACAGACCATTCGCAATTCTCCCTAAACATCACGTCCGCTTATAACCGCTCAGGGACATGTATTCATGCAGCTCGTTGTATTTCCCCACACAGAAATCCCAGAGCCGGACGCATTCATGCTGAAGGAGTTTATGCCTGCGCTGGTGTGCCGTATGGTGGACGATGCCATTGCTGCTTGCGAACAGCACGCCGGGCTACCCAAATCCAAGGTGAGTAAGCTCGCGGTTTCGTATAGCTAAACGATAGTTCGGTACGCTCGTAGTCGTTCTCTGCTTGACTGTTTGGTGAGTCATCCCGTATGCGTTAGCCATCCACCTGGAACTCCCGGACTGCTTTGCACCCGCCCATTTAACCTGGTTTATCATGCGATACAATTTGCACCAGTTCGCTCCCGCAATGCTCTGCACCCGCCCACTAAGCCTGGTTTATCATGCGATACAATTTGCACCAGTTCGACCCCCCTGCACTGCCCGAGGTGCTCGAGAATGAGTGTGCGCAGAAGTTGTTGGGACTGTACGTGCTACGGTGTGTGGACAAGAACGATGTCGGTCGCATACGCGATCTGCTGCCGGCACTAAAGATCCCAGGGCTACAGCCAGCTGTGTTTGTGTCGGTGGTGATTGCACTGCTCAATAAGGTACGCTGAAGCATGTATTGTTTGCATCACTGTGTACGAGGTATATGTTTGTTCATATAGTATGAGGCTAGGATGAGCAAAGTATGTGTTTACCTTACTGACTCCAGGTGTACATGTTTGTGGTGTGTGCTTGGAATGGTAATGCGATCATGTGAGCCCTTACTGGAAGTTCTAAAGTTGGTGGCATCAGGTGTATTGGATATGAGTAACTAAGCTGACTTTTCAGAAATGGAAGTATTACACTATGTGAAATTCAGGTGATGTGGTTACCAAAATTGAAGAGAGAGAAAATACGAGATCTTGACCTATCAAATTCAATATTAACATCCAAATATCTACGAATATACATGACTATACGCGTTTACCTGTACCTACACATGCACATGCACATACTCACTCACTCACTCACTCACTCACATGCATACATATACATACACACATACATATATATATATATATATATAATATATATATATATATATATATATATATATATATATA